TTCTGGAATTTGAGGTGTGCAAACAGAACACATGAGAATGAAAAATAACACATAAGAAAGTGCAGGCAAGTTTGAAGTATAAGATAAGCAGGCTCAAGCAAGAAATCCATAAGAAAACCATAATCTCTCCAGACTGACTCTCTCTGATGAATAAATAGACATTTATTTGCATAAGCCACAAGGGAAGAGGGGAAGCTGGCTTTTAATAACAAAGTTAAAAATATTTCAGTAGAGCTCACCCAGTTTGTTCCTCAGATGTGGCAAATCATATATCCCCACAGTTCCCAGATGCATGAACAATTGACTGATTAAATCAGTCACATCCTATAAAGAGTTTACAGTGGCAAACTGAGTCATGTTGAAATTAAAGCATCATCAAGAAAGTTAACATAAAATAGGCATGCATTAAGTGCTAAATTTCTGACACTTTCCCTCAATTGAAACATTCTTCATAGTAAACCCAAAGTGTTAAAAAATAAATAAAATCCTGAGCTTGATATACTGAATCTATATTTTTAAAAGTACACCTACCTTAAAAATAACTCTTCTGAGATCATTGTAACTTAAAAATGAACCCAGAGAGCAGTCTGAAAAAAAATGGTCCACAATTCCCTAGTCTTTTATTGTGGAAACATGATTGACAAGATCACCAGCGCACAAAGTGGGCACTTAAATCTTCTGATAAAATCATTCAACATTCTTGTTTTGAAAGCCATTTGCTCTGGAAACAACTATGGCAGTGTTTTGGTTTTTGTTTTAGCTTATGCTTCTATTAAGATTGGAAGGTCCCCAACAAGAGCTCAATTAGAAATCAGTAAAATTAGTTTGACTATTACCAAATAACAATTTTAGTCATTATGAATCTCATTTCCCTCCTGTGAATTTTCTTTGAATTTAGAGTAGCTTAATCTTCAAAATAAAATCTGAGTTCCTTCTCTACAGCTCTGTTTTCCAGTTTCTTTTTCTGCCTCAGAGAAAGTGCAATGAGAAATAGTAAAAGGTTAGAAAGCCTATTCAACTTGAGGGCATTCTTCGACACTCAGTTTGTTTCCCATGACTTTCTTCCTCTGGGCAATTTGGTAGAGAGTTTGGATGTTGTACACAGCAACTTTATATATGCTGGTCAAAAAAAAAAAAATATATGAAGTATATAAAAGCTTAAAACAAAGGAAAAAGTCATTTATCCACCTATCACATAAAGTCAGGCAAAATTAGGCATTTTTATATTCTGCTTGTTTTTTTTTTGTTGTTGTTGTTGCACTGTGATATTATATTGGAGCTTGGCTATATGTAATATGCAGATATTTTAAATAGGTTCAAATCTACCAGAGAACAACAAGTACAACCAAATGGCTAAAGCTATTAAAATCTGATAGTCTTAAAAACTGACCTGCAGAGTACTGTCATCTGTTTAGGCAAGCAGTGTTTTAAAAAAATGCCTCTAAGAATTTTCCATTTTGACACAGACCCAATTAATCCCTATTGTTTCAGTGCTTAGGAAAATGCCTAGATAGATCCTAAATTTAGAATTTGTAACCCCCATAAAATGTTCAGATAATGGAATGCCTGGAAATAAAAAGATGGTTTAAAAATATATACCTAGTATTTCCTGTCCAACTTGAACTGTGCAAAACTGTTCAACATCAAGATTTATTTCCTTCTGAGCTTGCATCTATCTTGAAGTCATGTGCAAAGAAAAAAAGATAGATCATCCCAAATCCATCAAATTTTCACGCAATTAAAATCAAGTAAGAAAGATTTAGGAATCTCATACCATGAAAAATGCTCATCTTCCAGATGAGATTTGAATACAGAAAACTTGAATAAAGCAAGTTCCTAGAAATAAGGGTGGCATCTAATCACTTCCCCGCTAGAATGCAGAGAATGGGGAGGAAAATGTGTCTACTACTATGCTTCAGGATACCTAAGGGAGCAGATGATGCAGCAGGAGCCTAACAGAATGCCCTGTATGTGTCACTTACTCCTCAAAATCTGCCAGAAATGACACTTAAAAGCAATCGGAGGAAAGCACACCTAAAGAAGGCAAAGGGACATAGTCTGGTATGAGCAGAGAGATCTGGAAATCCACTTGATTTGTAGAATAATAATGTATAGAGTAACATGGCAGGTGTACATGGTAAAAATTTGTCAGATATATCCAATGTCTTGGGTTGAAAAGATGCTATAGTTTACATAAGACACTTAAAATCAAATAGCAAATACAATTTAACTTTTGATGATTCCTCATTTTAAAAAATTAGTTTTAGCTGGGGGTATAGCTCAGTAGTAGTATATTTGCCTGGCATGTACACATCCCTGTGTTCAAGCCCTAGTACCACAAAAAATAAATTAATTTCAAGAGATATTTTATAAGCCTGTAGGAAAGATCCAACTTACATATTAAATAGGCTTGTTTTTCTTGAATTACACATCCCTCCCACTCTGGTTTGCCAGCACATTGTAGGAAATACCCTGAGGCTTGGTAAAATCCAGCAAGGTTTACATTAACAAATCTCACGAAAAGTGCTTGATTTTCCTATTATCTGAAGTAACTTGATCTTGTAATTTCTTAAATTTTTTAACTGTTTCCCATGATACTTGCAGTTGTATTTACTAAAATAACATGGGGTTGTATTATTTTGCAAAAATATGTTTGCCTAGAACTACTTGATTAGGTTAAGATAGGTTTTTTTTTTTTTTTTTTTTTTTTTTTTTTAAATATTTATTTATTTTTTTAGTTCTCGGCGGACACAACATCTTTGTTTGTATGTGGTGCTGAGGATCGAACCCGGGCCGCACGCATGACAGGCGAGCGCGCTACCACTTGAGCCACAGCCCCAGCCCTAAGATAGGTTTTAAAAACAACAATCTTATGTATAGTCTACTCTGCTAATTGAAATTATGATTGTTGTCACAAGGCCCAACAACTGACTGGTTAGAGTAGTTGATTTTTCTGCAGGAAAATAAAACATAGCCCTGATAATGATTCTGTCAAATGGGCACTTTAAACTCTATACAGCAAAATCAGCTGGATAGGGGAGCTCCCCTTCTGTTGTTACTTCTAAGGAGAGAATAGGCTTTTGTTGAACACCATCCTAAAGCATATGTTCAGGCAAGGTTCCACTGTAGCTGTCTAATCATTGACTAATTATCTGCCCATACATTGACTCTTTCCCACTTATGGTTGAGAATACTTTAACTGTATTTAGCTTTAAAAACTGGTTCTCTTTTGACCTAATGAGGCTCTGGCAAAACACCACATCTGCTTACACTGATTCAAAAAGTGTTCCAATTCCTCATTCAGCCATCAGGTAGTCAGTCCCTCTGTTTCTGATGAAAAAATATTGAGGGAAATTGCCCTTGTCTATTTCTGATTATTATGTTTTTGGTAATTAAATGGTGATTTTAGAAATTTCCCCACCAGCTTCTCCAATTCTACAGGACTGAAGAATGAGAAGTTTTCTAAGCCAAATGGGTAAACTCTTTACTCATCTATATCCTACTTCCCACCTCACACTGAATAATTTACTCAACTTAGTTTTTAATCAGGTCCCACTTTATCCATTTTGTAATTAATTAATTAATTAATTAATTTTTGTGCACCAATTCTGTAGGTACTTTGATCTGGAGGCAAAGAACCTTTGAAGAAATGTGACAGAGTAAGAGGTCTAAAAAGCCCTAGGCTCATCAATACGCAGACCAAGAAATAAATTCAGACTGAATACATCTACCATAATATGGCAGCATTTTAAAAATTCACATAGTTATGGGTTTAAAAAAAAATACATAGCACTTAGGGATGATATTAAAAATAGTTAGCAACTGGTCAAGCATGGGCTTCAATTAATCCAACAGACTGCTGGCCAACAATAGCTGACAGGCACAGCCCGATTCCCACCACTAAGTATCAGATCAGCCAATCCATTTGGGAAGAAACAACTTTTTCTTCTCTATCTCCTTTTCATTTTATTTATTTTTCATACTAAAGAGGGGCCCTTATTTAACAATTTTTGGAAGTTATTTTTTAAAAGAAATAAGCATGGTTTAGATAGAACACTATATCTTAGTAGTAAGTCACAACTCCTAGGAGAAATCACAACAAATTTAAAGGTTAGGCCTCTGCTACTGTTTCGTCTTTTGTCATTTGTACCAAACTCATTCCCCACTTTCCCACAGGTTCCTATAAAGGGTCAACATTTGCCAAGTGCTCCAAAGGCTGTATACTTATCCCAAGAAAAATCTGTATTTAGACTCCATGTATAATGAGAAACAGCTAGTTTCAGCTAGCTTCAATTTACTTGAACCATTTAATACTCAGCTTACAGGAAAAGTTCCAACTTTTTCAGAACAACATATGGAATGGACCATAAATCTGTACTAAATTATTTTAACCCAAAGTGTGCCTGCAACTGGAAACAGTGTGTTTGAATGAGCAATAACTGTTCTTCTCTAGTGAGAGAAGAGAAAAACCAACCTGGACTGGATGGTCTACCTTTTACTTTCATCAGCCTAATGAGCAGAGTAACTCCTATGCTGTTTCTTTGTCTTAGTATAAAAAAAAAAAAAATTCATATTAACACATACTACATTATATTAATTCGATATGTCATTTAGGTCAATTTCTCAGAGTCAATAAGCAATGATAAGAAAAACAGCCTAAACACCAAGAAGATGAAATTTATAATAGCCTTATGTTTCCTACCAATTCAGTATAAAGCCAAGTGACAAGGCAACACTAAGAAATAAAGGTTTAGCAATAAAGAAAGTAAGCTGAGAATCATGTCCTACTGACCAAAATGCAAATGTAAATACTTTATACACATTCAATATAGATCAAGTATTGTTTAATCCTACTGAAGCCACAAGTTTAAAGTTGCAAAATTATGCTAACTTCTCTTGGAAAATGTGTATCAATACTGGTTATCCTGTTAACCTAAAACTAAAATTCCAGGGTATCCTAATCAGAAGAGGTTTTATATCTCAAAGCAGTAGAAACTAACCTTAAAGAAGGCAAACCACTTGTAGTCATTCAGCACAATCTCGAAGCCTTGGTTGTAAATGATGGTGAAATGTCCAGAATTGCCAAAGTCATCATATGCTGTATCCAATTTCTTAAGGTGCACCACTACTTTTTTTTCTGGTGGTCCTAGAGAAAAGAAAATGTACAACAAAGGAAAGTTATTTGAACTTCACAGGATTAAAAATATCTCTACTATTTAATTAAGCTGCTTTCCTTTCATGGAAAAGCATCCCTAAATTCAATCCCCCATCCAAAATTCAAGGCAAAGAAAAATATAATAAAAGGTACAAGGAGATAAAAAGACCAACCATCAAATAATGAAAAAGGATAATGTGTTAAGCCCAAGAAAAAACAGAAAATGGTCTATTCAAAGAAGAAATGGGGTATCTTTTTTACTCAGTGGCTCTAGAAATGAGAACCTCAGAACCTGAATCCTTCTAAATTAGGAGTGTCTTTAATTACTGGATTAAAGTCAAAGGTAGGTTTACTGTGAGGCTGCCTGAAAAGAGTTCAGTTGTGTCCATCTGGACATTCCCACACTTCTGGGAGTCTTCAGATTAATACTCTGAGTGGGAGATTGCATGTGACAGGGAAGTGTAAATCCTGATCTCCCTTCTGCCATCATCCCCAAGCTCAATTTATAAAAAGAAACAATGGTACACAGTGTCCAAGATTAGGAAAAGCCATATAGTCATCTGGAGTTAAACACTTCTTTTCTTTTTTTAAAAAAAAGAGAGAGAGAGAGAAGAGAGAGAGAGAATTTTTTAATATTCATTTTTCAGTTTTCGGTGGACACAACTTATTTATTTTTATGTGGTGCTGAGGATGGAACCCAGCGCCCAGCACATGCCAGGCGAGCACATTACTGCTTGAGCCACATCCCCAGCCTTAAATATTTCTTTTTAAAGAAATATTACTTGACAGTATCAGATTACTTGACAGACTTCCTTCTGCTAATGGGGAAATTACAGCTGAGAGCTCCACTCACTCTGCAAGTCACAGGGAGCAAGACTTTCAGCAAACCAGCAGCCCGTTGTCTGGGGGTTTTGTTTTTCCTCTCTTCTCTACTGGCTTCTTTTTTAAGGTTAGCCAAGTAACTGAAGCATATGTAATACCCCAGTGTATTCACACACTGGATATTTATTGTTCCAACTGCCAGGCACTGTACTTGGCTCAGGGCATTTCCAAATAATTATCAGGGAAAGCATTAAAGAAGAAATGAGCTTCTCTATACCTCCTTGAAGTACATGAAACAAAGAATGGTGCTAGAAATACTGAAGGACAAGAAGCATTAACACATGCCAAATCGAAATGGCTGGACATAAGAGTCCTTTCCCATAACCTCACAGAAAAAAAAAAAAATCTTTTCATATCCTCAAGAGTCCTTGAGCTCATATATTTTTTTTTTTCACCAATAGGATTTTGAAAAAACTGGCAGATTAGAAGGGGGAAAACAAAAGACTGCAGTTGTGAACTCTATTCTAAACCAAAGCAACCAGATAAATACAAATATTAAGAGGAAGAAAAAGTTCTGGGGGGGGGGGAGGGGGAGAGTTGAGGTCCTGAGGAGTGTGCAGTTAGAAGTTCTCAGCAGTTCAAATTTAACTTCGCAGCGGTGGCCAAGAGAGTTACCCCAAAGGACCCGGAGTCCAGCCAGGATGTTCCAGCCACTCAGGAGCGCTGGCCGCCGTGTGGCCTTTGGGCGCAGAAAGGGGCGACTGCGAGGAGTCCCGGGTCGGCGTGGCAAAGCGAGAGTCTGAGGGCGCCGGCGGCTTACCCATAACCGAGCAGTTGATGTCCCGCTGAGAACCGACTGGGCCCACCTGGAAGACCCAGGTTCCCAGCAGATCAGGGTAGGTGCAGTTAGCAGGTGTGTCGCAGCGCACGGTCCAGACACCGCAGAGGAGCAGCAGGAGGCCGGCGAGCAACGAGTGGGGCCAGGGACCCATGCTGGAGGGGCCCGGACAAGAGGCAAAGAAGAGAAGAGCCCAAGCGTGGCGGACTTGGAATCACGCGACCCGGGTGGCTCGCGCTTTAAAATAGCCAGAAGCCCGGAAACCGCGGGCCGGCGGGGGGCGGGGTTACGGCACGGTGGGGGATGGGCGCGGGACACCCGGGTGGGCGGGGCCACCTTTCTCAGGTGGGTTTCGCCGAAGGCGCAGGTCCTCACCTGGCTGTGGCCGGACGCCAAACCAGAAAAACAAATGCTGACGGACGTTTCAATTTTTTGCACAATCGGTGACTTAAATAGGACCTACTCTGGGCGGAGAGACAGAAGGTGAGAAGGAGGCCCAGAGAGAAGAGCTGGGAGGAGTGGAGTTCTCTTTTGCTTACTTTCCCTCTCTTAATCTGAGGTCTAGTTGCCTGTTTATCAGCTATAAACTTTTTTCCCCTCCGAAAAACTTCAGCACTCTGTTTGAAAACTCCTCTTTCTTCCTTTTTCCAGTTCTCACTTCTTTTAATATTCTCTTGATTTTCTTTGGTCTCCTGTTGATGATATTTGTCTATTTGCCTAAGGGAGAATTCAACTATAGTGCAAATTTGAGCGTTAAGTACCTCCCCACCCCCACCCCTCCGCCCAGCCCCCAGTTTAACTGGATTTAGTTACACAAGGGGATCAGAGATTATATTGCTCAAGTTCTACTACTTTACACATGAAAAGCTGGAGGGCCAGAAAAAGGAAGTAGTTTGCCCAGGATGAGGAAGGAAGCTGATGTCCTGCCCAATTCTGGACTCTGGTGTGCCAATCTGATGGTCATTTGTTAGGTAGCCCTATTTTCAGGTGCCTCCTTGTTCTCCCCTGTGTGAGAGCTTCTCTGACTTTCTTGGCTGCTATGTGTAATTGGGCTCCTTTCCTCCACTGAGCCTCGGAGGTATCAGACCCTGTGGACACTCTGATGAACCAGACATACTTGAGTGTCCCTGCCCTCTCAGTTGCATGCATTCTTGTACCCATATAGCCACTTTTCCATCAGATTATAAACCTTCCAAGGTAGCAAGTCCAAATCATTCATTTATATCTCCCTGCAATCTTGTTTAAAACCACCAGGGATGTGTTCTTGAATGTTAAATGTTATCTTTATTTGTAAGCCTGAAACCCAAAAAGTAGTTGCCCTTGAAAGCTCATAGGTGAAATTGCTTTTTAATACCCAAACTACAAGGGCCAGTGTGTGGCCAACCTTTTATGAGGTAGCCAGAAGAAATATAAAAAGTAGAAAAGAAACATGCAAGGACAGGAAAACTAAACTTTAAAAGCCTTGGGCTAAAGTTCCTCATACTTTCACTGCCCGAGTCAGTTCTCTTTTCCTAGCCTATCACTTATGTTTTCTGGAAAATCTACAAGTCTTCATTGACAATCTTAAAGTTACTGGAAATTCACTCACTCTTTAAAATTGTCCTGTGCCCTATTAATTAGTCCACTATTACATGTATTTTTAGAACAGAGAAAGGAAGATATGCAACCTATAATAATGGGTCCTGTCCCACCATTATCTATTGATCAGGTAATGGAGAAGACCTCAACTTAAGGAACTTGAGAATAGCCAGACCACCATAAACTGTCTTGTGATCACCACCAGACTGATGGCATTCCCTCATACCTTCCCATGGCCGTCCCTCACCAAATTTCCTTTAAAAAAGGAGACCAAGAACCCCCAAAGTCTCTCTTGCTGGTGAAAAATGTATTCCTTGCTTTCCTAAATAAATTTCTGTGACTCAATAGCTGAAGTGTGCTGGAATTCTTTTTTGTCATGTATGTCAAGGACCCTGTCGTCCTGAATTGAGATCCCCTCTCTGAGACCTTCTTGGACCACCTTCAGTAACATGTATTTCTAGATTTTATAGACCTTTTAAGGATTAAAAACTGACATCTAATTACACTAACACTATTTAAAAATACACTAACAGAGTAACATTTCCTTCCTAAATCTCTGGGAAAGTGTGTCATTGTTAAACATTAAATTTTTTGCTAGATCATCAATATTTTAGAGCTGAGCCGTCAAGTTGGAAATTTTTTTGATACACGTAATTAGAATATTATACTTAATTGTGAAGAAAGTTTAAAACAGCTTTTATGCAATGAAGAACAAATAGAAAGGGATCTTGGAGACCTCTCAATGTAAGAGTCATTTAAAAACTGAGCAATGGAGAATTGAGACACTTGCTGAATGGCATATTGCCACTTAATGAAATTCAGGAAAAAAACTTGAATTAGGTATCTTCAAGTTACATTCCCATGAATTCAGTGTATGTTAAATTATATGAAATAAAATGTTTTTATATGCAAAACTGATTTGCTGCTAGGTTAATGTAATTGTAAGTAGGTTTAACAAAGGAAGCATTGCTTAGCAGTGGTTCTTGTAGTCCCAGGACCAATTCTTTGGAATTTGTTAGAAATGCAAATTCCTTAGACCTACCCCATACCTACCAACAAAGAAAATGTCTGGGGAGGTCCCAGCAATTTGTGTTTTAAAAACCCACTTCCAGAGGATACAAACTAAAGTTTGAGAATTACTGGTTTAGGAATAATTGGGATTCACCCTTGAAATCTGACACTCAACAGCTGCTAAATCTTGACCTAAGTTGTTTTTCTTCTTTTAGTGCCTTGGGTTTTTTGTCTATTAAGTGTACATAATTATATCTCCTATGACTACTTTATCTGGTTTTAAAAAGACTAAATGAGTTAATATAGATCTCTCTATAAGAGTAATATAGATCACTGTAAGTATTTCTATTAGAGGAATTTTCCTTATTAGTTAAACCAGTAGATTCCAAATATTGTTTTTTTGTAATCCTATTACCCTAAATATTTCCTAGAACACAAGGAGTGCTCAAATATTTTCTGAATTAATAATATAATGGTTACAAGTTGATCAGTACTTAATGGTATTTGGCTAAGAGCATCATGATTTCCATGTTTTTTGCCTCATGAATAGATATGAAAACTACCGTATTGGAATGCATGTCAAAATATTAAAAAAAGTGTTGGGCATGGTGGCGCATGCCTGTAATCCCAGAGGCTTGGGAGGTTGAGGCAGGAGGATCGCTATCACGAGTTCAAAGCCAGCCTCAGCAACTTAGGGAGGCCCTAAGCAACTCAGTGAGACCCTGTGGTAAAATAAAATATAAAAAAGGGCTGGGGATGTAGCTCAGTGGTTAAGTGCCCCTGAGTTCAATCCTTGGTACCTATATATATATGTGTGTGTGTGTGTGTGTGTGTGTATATATATATATATATATAGAGAGAGAGAGAGAGAGAGAGAGAGAGCGCTTAGATGAAAAACTTGACGTATTAATATTGTGCAATGATATTTTATATCATGTACATTTCTGGCATTGGTAGTAATAATAATCAATTTTAGCAGCTTGGGAAGCTGAGAGAGGATTGTGAGTTCAAAGCCAGGCTTAGCAAAAAGCAAGGCGCTAAGCAACTCAGTGAAACCTTGTCTCTAAATAAAATGCAAAATAGTGCTGGGGGTGTGGTTCAGTGGTCAAGTGCCCCTGAGTTCAATCCCTAGTACCAAAAATAAATAAATAAATAAATAAAAATAATAATCAATTTTATTTATCTAGCATTTCACATTGTCAAGATAATATACATTATCCCATTTAATTATCACACAATTCTATAATGAAGGTGTTACATAATTTCTATTTTATCCCTAAAAAAAAAAAAAATTGGGTCTCAAAGAATTTATTAGGGTCTAATGACTGTGAAAGCAAAAGTGAGGAGGGAAAAAGAAGAATAAAAAGAGGAAGCCTCAGAGGATGTGTAGGTCTGACACCTGTGAAGAAGAAAGAAAAGAAACTTAGAAAGAAACTCAGAAATACAACTCTGATACATTCTCAGACAGCCCTACAGGAAACACTGCTATAAAGATTGTTCATGAAGGAGCTGCACTTATTAATTGGCCTGATCTAGAAAGCTAAGATGGATCTTGAAGTCATGCTGTCAGGAAATGACACTCTCACAACAGGGCTATTTTGAAGAGAAGTGGAGACAGTAAACGCCTATGGGAGCAACAGTGTGGTAGAGAGAGATTCCTGCCTAATATTATGGGTTGATCCACAAGTATGACAAAGGAGGCTGGACATTTCTTCAGATATGGTGATATCCCACATACTGTACTATCTTGGCAATGTTTCTGTCTTTGTCTTCTAGGCAGATATCAAAATTCCCTCTGCTGTGACCTCATGTTCCTGTGTTCACAATTCATTATAATTTTGTGATTGACTTTTCCACTGGGCTTCATACTCCTTGATGGTAGGACTATGATATTTTTATACATCAAAATTTCTCACAGGAGTTGGGCCAATAATATTTACTTATTCATTTCCTCAATAAAATTAATGCAAGAAAAGAAGAAAGAAAGATAAGTAGGAAGAATGGTAGAAAAAAATGAATAAGGAGGTTTCTATGCATGAAAATTTAGTTGATGGTTGTGGTGGAGGAAATCACAGGGTTGCTTAGTAATGCTGCCCAGGTTGGTTAGTTGAACTGTACCAATGTTTCTCAAACTTGATCTCAGGACCAGTTAGCATTCTTATAAGGTTATGAGGACTCCCAAGAATTTTTGTTTATATAGATTATATCTGGTGATATCTACTTTATTAGAAATGAAATGTAAAAATAATTAAGTATTGATTTATTCATTTAATAATAATCATAAAATGAAAGTAGCATACTTTGAGGCTGCTGCTCATATTAACATGGCATACTATTTTATAGTAAATTTCTTTTATATCTTTATTTATTTTTATGTGGTGCTGAGGATCAAACCCAGTGCCTCACATGTGCGAGGCAGGCGCTATACCACTGAGCTACAGCCCCAGCCCTAGAGTAAATTTCTTTTAATAAATAGAAGGAATGTACAATAAATAATGATAAAAATCAAAATGTAGTAAATATATAAACCAGTAACATGATCACTTATCACTACCAAGTATTATGTACCTTACCTAATGTAGGCATTATACTTTTATACAACTGGCATCATTTTAGTTTTATTTTCACCAGTATTATCACA